AAATTAATTAATCACTATTTAAATGGTTAAAAAATTAGTTGTATTAAAAAATATTTTGAATATATAACATAATAATTTATAATAATATTATTTAAAAAAAATGGTGTCCGCCCGGTCGGACCGGTCACCACCGGCCGTCGGGGCCGGACGCCATTTGGGCCGTCCGGTTTCGGCGGTCGAACAACAATTATTTTTTTTTTTTTTTACTTTTTGAAAAAAATGCAAGGGGCAAAATTGTCCAAAGGGGGGGCGGTGAATAGCGATTGAGTTATTTAATGGATGTTATGGGAAACGATGGTGATGGAATATGAAAAGACAATGTGTATTAGATGGATGGTTAAAAATGGAAAAATATGAACAAAATATCTAAAACAACATTTATTTTATCAATGATCATACATACCAAATTCTATTACTTTATAATATAATTTATAGCTTTATTTGATATAATTTAATTTAGTTTGATAAATAAATTTAATTTTATTTATAAGAATATATATTACTATTTTGTTTATTAATACAACGGACTTTGTAATATTAATTCAAATGTAACACACTAATTAAGATTTTTTTTCTTGACAATATTAACCATATTTAATGGATGTTATGAGAAACGATGGAGATGGGATATGAAGAGACGCTGTGTATTAAATGGAGAGTTAAAATGGAAAAATATGAATAAAATATCTAAAACGACATTTATTTTATCAATGATCGATTAAGCCAAAGTGACAAATAATAAAAATAGGAGGGAGTATATATTATTATATATTTTAGTATGACACATATTACTTGTGCGACTTGTATGTGTTATATTATAATAAATTTTCTACCTTATAACATATAACTACATTAAACATAATTAATTTATTTTATATATACAATATGGATGTCAAATCGAAGCTCATCAAAAGATGATTAATTTGATATATTATATATGTAAAACCGATAAGAAATACAAAAGTTATCAACTTTTAAAATATATTTTCAATTCAATGGTTATAATAGGAAACGATATTAAAATATAATTAATATAAATATTAATATATCCAAGCCTAACTCCAAAGCATGATTTTTTGCCAAATAGGATTCCGAAACATGAGAGTTTGCCACGTAGGCTCAGCGCATTTTGAAATTATATATATAGGGGATGACCAACATAAGTACGACAACTTTGAGGGAGTTCAGCATTAACTTCTTCTTTTTTAAAAAAAAAAATAGAATTAATTAATCAATTAAAAATTATACAGACAATTTGATATTTCCTCCTATTCATAATATATGTCGTTTTGAGAAGTTACACAATAATTAAGATTTTTTTTATCAATGATAATTGGGAAAAGATGAAGAGTGAATATGAAAAGGCATAGTGTATTTATTAGGTAAATGAGGGTAATAATGAAAAAATATGTACAAAATATCCAAAACGTCATTTATTTGGTTAATAATTGATAAAACAAAATTACATTAAAAAAAAAGGAGACAATAGTTTTATTATACAGTACTATTATTCTATTTAAATATATATGATCATTAGCATTTGTGCATACTTTTGATATCTCATACTTAAAGAATACAAAATACATAAAAAATTATATTTACAATATAAATATATTTTTTATTAAAAATATGAAAATAACCAACTTAATTTATGTTATACGATAAACATATGTAAGACCGCGAAATATATAACGGCTACATTTGGTAAATCTAGATAAAATTCCAATTAACAGCTAAAAGTTAGCTTATACCTTATAATTTAATTTCGACTTATAGGTGATAGTTTATTTCTAACTAGTATTCGACCTGTGCATTTGCACAGATATAAATAAATTATTGTGAGTCTGTATGCATATAATGATTAATTATTTTTCTTTCACTTTTTTACAGACCAAATTTACAATTAAAAGAGTTGAAATATTTTTTTTTTTTAAAATTGCGTTTATCTGACTGGATGTAATGTATATTTTGGTACGTCTTTTATTTGTGAATTATTTATTATTTATTTAGGAATTTCAAATATATTTTTTATTTTAAAAAAAAAATTAAATGTAACAACAATAATAACATCTAATCACATTATACGGTCAACACATTATATGGTCAACTCTCATTAATAAAAAATTTAAAATAATTTTTGTAATTTTGAAGTGATGAGTATTAATTATTTAATGATTAAATGAAAGATTAAATACATCAAAATATAACGGTTTTTGGAGGGAAAATTGTTAAATTGCCACATAGGTAAAATTAAATAGGTTTTATTAAATGTTTTGAGCTAGTAATTATATATATATAGATGGTTGAAAATTTTCATGATATACTAAAAATATTTGGTAAAACTAGTTGATAGTTAACTAATATAAAAATTTTAACGATTTTTTATTTTATTTTAAAAAAAAATTACATATGGAAGATTATGAGATTTGCTCCATTTTTTTTTAGGTTTGCTCTACTTAGCTTATAGTGGTTACTAATTACTTATTTTATCAACAATAAAAGATAACATAACACTTAGCACATATGCTAACTATTTCTTTAATCCATATCCTTACTCATCACAACTTGATCTATTGAAAAGACTAATTATGAAAATTGAATCGGTTGATTGAGTAGTCTAATCATCATTCAACGCTAATAATAACACAATGATCGGACTTCCCGCGCCAAAATTTAGTTGAATTGACTTATACGGCTGCTCAATCATAATTTCACCATAATTACTTTCTCAAAATCATAATTTCTTATCCTCTACTTAATGGAGTAGTTGATAAAGTATCACGGAGAAACTTCTAAGTTTAAACTGGATATATTTTTTTATTTTTTTTTAATAAATAAAAAGTGAAAAATATTTCAAAATTTATTAGACAAATTTAAAATTATAAATAGGTGTAAATAAAAAAGAATGATTCAAGTTCAATTGATATGAAAATTCATCGACAGTATTATGGGAGTTGTAGACAAAAAGGTCAGGTGAATTGAATAATATTTTTGTGATTTTCTATATCATTGGTTGTTAAATAAATCTTGACTAAACAAAATAAATATTTTTCATAGCTAGTGGCATCAATAAAAATTCTTTTTTTATCGAAAAAATCTAGTCTAGCCAGTATATTGATTAATTAATTTAAAAAATTAGTCATCTACAAACAAAGTTAGGATTCTTGACTGTACATGTACATGTACATGTAACATTTTTCTATTAATTAAATCATCTCATGATCTTTGAGCAAAAGTAACTTTAACTTTTTGGAAAAAAAAAAAGGAAGAAAATAAGATTCTTCAAGAAGAAAATCAAACCTTTCCTGCCTTCTTTATCTGCAGTTCTTTAAGCATAATCATTACCAATTCCACTTAGATTGGCAATCAAAAATTCCTCAATTAATTTAGCTTAACATTTAATCATATTATACTAAAAAGAGGTTGAAACACTCAAAGCCATGCCAAACCCAAACCTTTTGCAGTACACAAGAGAAGGAACAAGTAAATAAATAAAAGTGAGAAAAATAAGATAAATAACCTAAAAAGGGGACACAGTGAGTGAAAAAAGAACTTCCTCTGAACTCTCATAAAAATCAATAAAATGACATACTTTAAGCAAGGTGTCAAGAATTCATTCCTTTACATAATTATTAAATTTTTCATTTTTATGATGCAACAAACTGACTATATGTATATCTCTTTTTTTTTGTTTTATATTTATGTCACTATATGTATCTCTTGAAATGGATATATGGAAAAGACACCAACGGTTCTGCTATGACTAACTATAAAAAACATAAATTATTGAATGAATCAGCCTAAATCATGCCTGTTTCACAGCATACAATCTCTATGCACGGGGCAGGATTTATCTCGGTTAAAAAACTATTTCACAGTAGACAATCTCTAGACATTTACCTAAAGAATATATTTTTTGGTAAATAACTAGAGAAAAATTTATAGGAAAAACTATATGTACGTAGATGTAGGAAGTTTGTAAACAATATTCAAACATTTACTTATAAAATATATCTGTAGGTAAATTCCTAGAGAAAAAATTATAGAAAAAAAATTGTAGATAATATCTAGGAATTTGCCTTAAAAATATATCTGTAGGTAATACCTACTACCTAGAGAGAAAAAAATTATTGGTCGATCCTATCTATAAAAAAGTTGTAAGCAATCTCTAGGCATTTACTTACAACATATACTAGTACAACACCTGTATATTACACGAGTGCTTATTAAAAAATTATTCTTAAATTTTAAAATTAATGAGAAAAATTATTTTAAAATTTATTTATTTTTTACAAAAAATATATATTATTATATATTTAAGAATGACATTTGTACTTGTACGACTTACATGCGTTATATTATTGTAATTTTTATAACTTATATCATATAACTATTTGAAATATAAATATATTAATTGATAAATAATTTTATTTTTTCAATTAATATTAAAAAACAATTTTATTATTGTAATTTATTTTTTTATACATACAATATGGATGTTAAATAGAAGCTCATAAAGAGATGATTAATTTGATATATTATATATGTAAAACTGATAAAAGATACAAAAGTTATCAACTTTTAAAATACACTTACAATTCAATGGTCATAATAAGAAAAGATATTAAAATGCAATTAATATATGTCACCCGACCTAATTATTTTTGGAGAAATAAATTAAAATCTACCCAAACCTAATAACGAAACATGCAATTTTTGTCACATAAGATCCCGAAGCCTGCGAGCCTATCACTTAAGCTCAACACGTTCTGAATTAATATATAAGGAGGATATGTAGGTAAACACCTAGGAAAAAAATTATTCATAAATCTTATTCATAGGAAATTTGTAGGCAATAACTAAACATTTTCCAACGAACTATATTCGTTGGTGTATAACTATAAATTACCTGCAAATATTTGTCTAATATTCTTTTTTGTTTGATATTTGTTGGCAATATGTGTAGTAATTTTTGTCCAAAATTATAATTTTTATAGGCATTCTATAGATAATATGTTTCTATTTACCAACAAAAATTCTGCTTTCGTAACACTTGTAGCTATTTTGATATTTTTTTTATGGTGTAGATGACTATTAACATAGTTTAATACTAGTGTTTAAATTCGATTATTTCAAAATCAAAACTATAACCCATCGAAATAACAAAATAGGTTGGAAGCTAAAAGCCTAAAACTGAACATCGAATCAATACCTTAAAAACCGAACCGAAATTATAATTTTGGTCGGTTTCGAATTTCGATAAGTTATTTCGGTGTAATCATATTTTGCGCACAGGAAAGGAGCGAAGCATGATACATTGGTTCCTTTTATCCGAAATTACACCCTGCAGTAAGTGGATCTAGGCATGTCGATGTACCTCTCTGGCGGGCACCGTGGTTCTTGAGTTCTTGACCCGCACGAATTCGAGTTCCTCCGCCGCGGAACCACGGTGGCGTCGCTCAAGAACTCCACTCACAGAGGCACGCGCCCGCCGGAAAGCGCGTCCAGGATCCTCTAAGACAAATTGGTCAAGGATCCAACTGATTTTCCGGTGACCGAGCGTTGCTTGGAGAGATCATCCAGCTGGACGGTTCGACAAGTCACCTAAGAAACCACTTCAAAAGGAGATCAAACTTCTAAAATTTTCATGTTTTGATTTTACTTGATAATTTAAGGATGGTTGGATCCTTGAAAGTAATAAGTTTCGGTTGCACTTGATACAGGGTGAGGAACTTGATTATTGAGGTGTACTTCATCGTGATGACTCGGTTTTGATGTCGGTTTCTCTAAATCAATTGAAGGTCCTCTGCTATTCTTTCCTCAATGCCTGTGTTTATATCATATATTTTAATAAAAAGCAGTTTTAGTGCCCTCTTTCCGTGATATAAATTTGAATTATAACCTTTTTTTGTCCTACAGTGCCCCTGAACTTATATACAAGTCTCTACCTGCAAAACGTATCGTTGGAATGACATCTAAGGTAGGCCTGTATGTTCCTCATTGCATGAATATGATCCTTTATTTTCTCGATTTTTTTGGAATTTTACAAGGGGAATTACAATACTAATGCACGCTCTAGCAACCGTTGGATCGATCTTGTTGAGGGAGCTTCCGCCAGAAAATGATAAAGATGTTGTACACTTTTTCTTGTCCTTTTAATTTATATATTTGTTCATTTTTTCTGTCAATTTTTTTTTTTATCAAGTCGTGTATTATTACCAGAGATTAGCTCGCAAATGGCTGATAGACTCAGCATGGGTGTTATATCTCCTTTATCAAAGCAGCTCGCAATGCCATTGCCGAATGCCCTCGTTTTGGTGGCTCTAAATGAGCTCTCGACCTGTGCTACAAGTTTCTTCATTAAGGTATTTGCACATTCATGCACACACAAGATCTCATTCTAATAATACAATCATCCACATTTCTAAAAAGTAAAAAAATGTGTGTGGGATTCGTGCTAAGATAGTGAGGTTTATTCAGGTACACGGATGGTAGTCTATGTGCGCGGCGATAAACCTCACAAGGAGCTGAAAGTTCTGAAGACCAGCGATGCCATTATGATTCTTCACAAGGTGCCGTACACAGAAGAGAATGTTAGCAGAATCCATACCGCAAGAAGGTATTTTCTTTCAATCTTAATCCTTTTGTATTAGATCTTTCTTTTTTTCTTATTTATTTATTTATTTTTTTTTGTCGGGATGTTTGAGACTAAGGATTCAGTGGTTGCAGGCTGTTTTCGTTTGGATAATGCCTTGGATTTTCCGGCATTTAAATTTAGACTAGAATTTGTTTGAACCAGCATTGTTGTTTATGTTACTGTTACAACTAAGGCAGCAGATTTATTCCCATCCTTTTACTTATGGTCTGTTGGTGTCTGCTGGAAATGTTTTGGATTGTTTGTAGTGGTTAGTTTTAGGTGAGAGGTTTTAAGAAAAAAAATCCATGGATGATGAGTTCAAACTTATGGAAAAAATTAATCATTAAACTTTTTCCTGGATTTTGCAGGTAAAAAATATGTCGAAAGCATAGTCAAGGATGTCTTGAAGTGTGCGTTAATCGAGTACCAGGTCGGTGCTTTGCTTTGTTTTATGTCTCTTTGATTTATGTTTCAGGGAGTTATGTATATACATGACCTATTTTTACTCTTCATCTGTCTCAATGTGTTTCCTTGCTATGTCTTGATGCCTTCCTATGTGCAGTGTTGTTGTGAGATAAGACAAGAAACTATTGATTGTTGTATTCCCTGATGGACGGGCATTTACTCTTAAGGTTCATAATAGATCAGATGTCATTTACGCAGTATTTTGCATAGTCAAGTGTTCTTTTAGTACATGGGGATAATGAGGATAATTTACCCTGACATTTTTCTTAATTCTATGTATCAGTTATCTTTAAACTTGCAAACACTCACTTGAAATTCCGATCAATGGAAGACAAGCAAAAGGAACTATAGGATATATAAAAAACGATTTAGTTTCTGGTCTTGAATATATCCACTTCGTTGACAACTATAATGTTCCAGTTTGGGTATCTGGAAACCATAATGGTCCCAATTGGAAACTGATCATTTTCTTGTAACTGTAATTTTTTTTCCTGTCATTTTACAGGTATTTATGTTGCTTAATGACCTTTCCAGTACACTACTAACTACTAATTCTTGCCCAGAATTTTTTACTAATGTGTTTTGTATTTGTTGAACTACTATTAGCTTGTCGTTGTCCTATCTTTAATATGATTACGTCCTTTCTTTTTTGCAATGTTTTGGTGGGATTAACATTCAAGTGGAACTGGCATATTAACTTTTACTGCTACATTGTATTTTGGTTTGTACATTTGTGTCGTAAAATTTATGCTGTTTCTAATGGTATTTGCATAGTAATGCATGAAAATGAAATATGCCCATGTTGGTTATTTTGCAGGCAAAAAGCTGTTGGAGCATTATGAAATTTATCCTTTGATGACCGGAATCGAGAAGCAATTGCAACAGCTGGTGGAGTTAAGGCTTTGGTATGTCATTCAATTATTAAAGAGAGTTCTTGTTATACTTATTAGGCTTTATTTTTCTATTAAGTGGTTTCATCTAGGCAACAACTACCATAAAAAAATATTATGCCAGAAAAACATTGATCCTTGATTGAAATTTCGGTAAGCCATTTAATGCCTTTGTGCTTGCTAAGATTGCTTATGGTTAGTGCTACTGGTGGGTGCTGATTAATTACTTTATCTTTTATTGGAATATCTTGTTAAATGGGAAATCTGAATCGCTTATTTCAGTTTTTTACTTTTACCTCACTCACGTTTATAACTTTGTGACTTTATCACATTGCATTTAAGAGCTGTTTTGGTTTCTAATGAGAATTTATATCTATTATGTGACAAAATTACTGAACTTCAAGTCTATCTGCATTCATGTTATCAAGCTCTGCTGAGAGTGGGGATATTCTTCCAGCTTAGGCATCAGTAGATCAAAATGTTTTTCTTTCTTGTTTATTTTAAAACTTTGGACTCTTTATACTTTAAATTTGCCGGCATCTTTATGGGTTTTTGACAGTCACTTTGTGCATCTCTTGGTAATCAAAGAAACACATTTTAGTTACTGTGAAGAAATTATTATTTTTCCCCTTTCTATTATTGCAAAAACTTCAATTACATCTGCTTGGTCAAAGAAATTAAGCAGGATTCCTCGGTATATTGTTTAGAGATTTCTTCCATTGCATATTAGCCTAAATTGATACGTTTTTCAGTTTAAGAGTTTCTTTAATTACAATTTTAAAAAAAAAATAAAAAGTAAGAAAAAAAATTATATTGAGCAGTCCAATATTGCTTCGGGAGATCAAAAAGTGGTCACTTTTTGGGCTAACATAAAGTGGTCACTTTCCTCAATCAAGTATGTTGCACCCAAATCCCTTGGGTCTGCTGTCATGTATTCCAGAAAGCAGAGGTATTTGTATTGTTTTTTTCTTTTTTTTCGTTGTCATGGGTTTTTGCGGCCTTTGAATACGTATTCTCCATTACTTACTTGCCTGCATTTTTTTGCTTGCGATTCAGGTTCGTTTTCAGTGTCACAACCATTTCAGGTTCCATGGGACAGACAGGTTATTATCTTTATTATTTTTTTGGGAACTGGATTTTTATCTTTCCGGTGGTTAGTTATGCTTTGTATTCTACCTACATATGTCCTGCCTGTTTGTGCAAGAAACCACCTTTGAATATAATCCGCAGATCGTGATCGTTCAGGTTTTCTAAGGCTTTTTTTTTAGTTTTGTTTTACATTGTCTTTACTGACATGTCATATGGTTCAAATACATGATATACCAAGTTTGTGGCTTTTATGGTGAACCAAACACTTCCTTTGACCTTTTTTGTGACTGTTGGATATTTTATCATATTGTGGGACTCTTGCCTTTATGATGTATTCATATGAGGTAATTTCAGTCTACTTTTGGGAATGCCGGCAAATGTATATATGTGTACTCTTTGAGTCGGACAAGTATATGTATAAAGTTAGATACATTTTTTTAAGCAACATTTGGGAAATATATGTATAATATGTGCTATATTGCATTTATTTCAGTCGCGGCATCAGTCAGGAGGGAGGGAGTATGTGCCTGCTGATTTATTTTAGGAGGGAGTATGTGCTTGCTTATTACCAAACCATTAACTCGAAATGTCGATTGAAGCTGTCAATTGACATGTGTTTTGTTTGGACCAATGTATTCATGCATGTAAAGATTATGTATAAGGCTGGATACATTTTAAGCGGCAACATTTTGGGGTCGTCCAAAAAAACAATCAATATTTCACAATTATAGACTAAACTCGGTTCGGTTGTGCGTAACAATATTTAAAAAATATATATAAGTTCGACTGACCATTTCAAAAGATGATAAATCTTCACTATATTTTAGATTAAATTTGAGTCGGCCGTGCGTGCACGGCCATAAGACAACTAGTCTAACATATATGAACCTATATTAAATATAAAAAAACTAAAAATAGAAAAGGAAATAGTAGAAAAATTTTCGTCCTACCAAAACTACCCTTGAAACGGGAGAAATTCCATTGTAGGGCTTGACTTTTTGATATTGTGTCACAATAAGGCCTGAATTTTTAACTTTTTCATTTGAAAGCTTCAATTTTAAGTTACTTTCAATACAATGCCTACTTTTACATTTTACTTTTCAATTTAAGACTCCAAATCACTTTATATTTTGATATAATTATGTAAATAACAATACTTTTTTTAAAAAAAAATATAAAAAATTTATTTTTAAGTACCTATAATAAAAAATTAAATATCATTAATAAATTATCTAATAAAATAATTATTTCATAATTTCATTTATGCAAAAGCTTAATGAAATTTACTTTAAAAGTTAAAAGATTAATTTTAACTTAATTTTAATCTAAATATCTGACAACATTAAAACATAAACTATTTAGAAAAATAAGTTTATTTTTTTAAATAAACTTATAGAAAATATTATTTGTGAATAAAATTTATATTTTTGAAAAAGTTAAGAATATATAAAATTAATACCCGAAAAATTTTATTGTAGGCAGTTTTATTCACAAATAATATTTTCTATAAGTTTATTTAAAAAAATAAAACTATTTTTCTAAATAGTTTATATTTTAATGTTATCACATATTTAGATTAAAATTAAGTTAAAATTTATTTTTTAACTTTTAAAATAAATTTTATTAAGCTTTTCATAATTGCAAATTATGAAATAATTATCTTATTAGATAAATTTATTAAAGATATTTCATACTTTTCATTATAAGTACTTAAAAAATAAATTTTAAACAAAGTATTATTGTCTACATAATTATATCAAAATATAAAGTGATTTGGAGTTTTAAATTGAAAAGTAGAATGTAAAAGTAAGTCTTATATTGAGAGTAACTTAAAATTAAACCTTCAAATGAAAAAGTTAAAAATTCAAGCCTTATTATGACACGATAACATAAAGTCAAGCTTAAAATGGAATTTCTCCCTTGAAACGGGTTGTTCACATATTCATCGGCAGAAAGTTTTGAAAGGTAGGCGTAGACTATGTTTGATAAAACTAGTTAATAACTTATAAATGAATTTCGAGTTTATAGTTGATAGCTTATTGCTGAAAATCTAGCTCATATGATAAAAGTATTTGGTAAAATTAGCTGATAAATCAGCTGAAGTAAAAATTTAAACGAACTTATTTAAAAAACTACCCAAAGAAGCTTATAAGATAAACTCGAGCGTTGTAAAAAATTTCGTCATATCGAACGAAGCTTATTTGTATACGTAAAACTTATAAGCTAACTTATAGTGCTTACCAGACTAACCGATTTGACGAACGGTTTTCACTTTGATAGGTTCAATCGGCTGGTTCGACAATTGTGATTTAAAAATTATTCTGTGGCCAATTTTTCGGATGAAATTGTATTACATATTTATTAAATTGAAAAATATGTACTTTTCTTTCTAAGTTTAACCATGCTATTTATATTTTATATACTATTCAATCTGTCTATATATTTGTATATCTATCTAAATTCATGCATACTTATACCGCGCGACACTTGAGTTTCATGGGAAATAAATTATCAAACATACAACATTACATAGTACAAATGGGAGACGTAAATCAACAAACAGGCGGACACATTATTAATTGTCCGAGATTATTAATTGTACTATCCTAGTAAATGAACCACAAGAAGCCATATGTGGCCAAATTTTTCTTCCAATTTTCCTAGTACCAAATTAGTCACTCTTTCATGCAGGTCATGCAAACACTGACGTTGATGAACTTAGTGTCTTCTTTCGACATGCGGTCGCATAATATCGCCTCATATTTATTGAACAACCGATCGATCACCGCATCACCAAAATGTTCCACCAGCAAGGGTTCGGCCACGGACCTCATGCACCGAGCCACATTGTACCCATCTGCACCCGATTGGCTTGAATCCGACGAACAAAAGTTCTCCCCACAAGCGGCCCAAGTGATTTCCGAGACCTCAAGACGGTTGATTGTGAACGACCCCTCCTTTTCAACTAATATTGCGACCTCTTTGGCCGATGGTGTATATTGAGGGATGTGGAAGGAATGCAATTTCTCTTCTTCAATGAGTCCCTACAATGTAAATATGACAATTTCATAGATATGTGGAGTGTGGAATAAATTAAATGTTCATTTCTAGCTTAAAGCTATGTTTGGTAACCAAATAAGCTAGCTTATAAATTTTCTGTATTTAAGTAAGTTCTGTTTGGTAAGACGAGCTTTCAAATAAGCTCGTTAAAATTTTTATTTCAGCTGACTTATCAGTTAATTTTACCAAAATATTTTTATCATATGAGCTAGCTTTTCGGCCATAAGTCATAAGCTATAAGCTCAAAAAACACTTATCAGCTATTAACTAGCTTATCACTTAGTTTACCAAGCATAGCCTAGGAGATAAACTCGAACTTTTTAAAAAAGCTTGTCCTACCAAACCAAGTTTATTTAAATATAGAAAGCTTATAAGATAATCTAATAAGCTATAAGATAACTTATATACTTACCAAACTAAGTCTTAACCGACATGTAGTTTTGAACAAACTTTCCTTTCACTTTAAGATTAAACTCAAGCTCGAATTCGAGTCAACTTTGTAGCGAATTCAGTAAAAAGTGGGTTTAAGTTAAGATTAGGCACCTCATAAACCATTTCTTGTAGTGCTATAGCCATAAGCTCCCAAATGTAGCCACTGTCCTTAATAGAAGTAACATCACTTTTTCTGCCCAAAATGGTCAATACCATTTTCCCGTCGGCCACAACCTCCTTCGACCGGCATTTGAGAAAAGTCGAAAAATCTCTTTGAAATTGATCATAGTATGCATTAATCACATTTTGCGGGCTATTGCTTGCCACGTAAATGTTCGATTTGTTCATTTCCACGCCTTCAGGAACCTGAAAATACATGTAATAACGTAAACAGGAAATATTTCATTTTTTGAGTCCCATAACTGGAGCGCTTCGTTTTTTATCCCACACGATCTCGCTTTATCAAGTCGAAATTACGAACAATAAAATCATTGCCTCCTATTGCAATTTTAAGCAACCTCAAAAGTATATTGGCTGTGTTTTATTTGATCTATCTATAATTGAATTGAAGAAATTTTTCATGGGTATGAGATTTATAAAGACTTTTTATGACTTTAGAAATCCTGATGTATTCAATTTACATTTGTTACTAAACTTTTTAAAACTTTTAAAAGTCGTAGGAATCAATGAGATTTTAAAAATTCTTACAAAATTCTGAGGTACTTAAATTTTTTGAGACTTGGATTTAATAGACTTTTTACGATTTTTTGTGGGATTTCTAAAGAGAAAGTCTTATACAAAATCCTACTTGAAATCCCACCTCAGACTTAGGATTTCGCATAATTCTTCTAAAATCTGAAAATCTTAAAAAGTCTCAAAGTGTCCCTTAAAATTCCAACTGAATACACTCTCTTTTTGTGTTTAATTATACGAAAGGCAATTTTAATATACCTTAGAGAGCCACATGAGACTGTAGGAAGAATGAATAAAATGAACACTCTTAGAGGGCAAAAGTCTGCCGTAAAACGATCCTGGAACTCCCGACACAAAGAAATTTCCAAGCTCGGGTCCCATTTCCCGTCTTAGTTCTGCCTGGAAATCGGGCAGTAGCGATTGAAAAATCGAGTTGAAATCATTTCCGGGAAGGTCATTGAGACATATGTGGAATTCCGGTGACTGTTGGTGGCCAATTTTCCGGCGTAATTCTTCCACGGTTTTCACGAGCTCACTCGTCACAAAGAAAGTGTTCGGTCCGGACGAGCAGCCCAAGTCAACTATGCACATGCACTTGGGGACCATTTCAATGTATAGTTCAGTTATAGCTTCTTCAATTATTGGCTTGGTCATTGATATCACTTTTCTCTACAGTATTGCAATTTAATGTTATGATATTTTCCAGATGAGAAATGAGTGAAATTAGAACTAGTAATCTTATGAAGCTTGAATTTAAGTAAAGTATATTTTTAATTTATATGTCCATGTACAGAATTTTATGGAGCTAAAAGATGGATTAAAGTCATAAATAAATTGATGTATGGAATCATCATCATGTCCTAAATGTATGTAGTTTTTTAGTACGTCCTCTCTCAGATATTTGCAATTTCGCGTATAGCATGTGGGCTTAATTGTAATTATCTTTCTTGAAGTATAGTAATTTCCATATTTGGACCTTTCTATGGCCATTTTTTATGGTCCCTAAAAGGGATTGGTCCTACTCGTTACTTTTAGTTTGAGTGGTCCTTTGTTCACCCAATTGGGTAGTCGGCTTGTAAAATTTTGTTTGGTGCGCTACGAAAAAATGATTAAATTTTAATGGAAATATATTTTAATAGAATTTTAATAGATATTTTTTTATGCTATTATTTTCGTTGGAATTTTCTAATAGATTTCAACAGAAATTCCAACAAAAACATTCCGTTCGAATGATTTCTCAATGGAATTTTCGTTGGATTTTGGCGATTCCAACGGTGGTGGAAATAAAAATTCCAACGGAAGTTGTATATTTTAACAGAAATTCCTACTGTAAAAGGCCGTTGGAAATATAACCGTTAGAATTATCAAATTCTATCTAAAATTCCAATTAAAAACATATTCTAACGGAATATTTTCGTTGAAATTTCCGTTGGAATGATTCCAACAGAACCTATATCATTGGAATATCTGTTGGAATTTCCATTGAAAAATATTACCATAAAATTTTTCGTTGGAATAACAATTTTTTTGTAGTGGTGATATATATTTGGTTTATAGTCGTTGAGGAAAAAAAAAGGATTGGTCCTAAATAATGATTGCCATATTTGGATTATGGCCATTTTTTGTGGTTCCTAAAAGAAAAGACGGATTTGTATTAGGTCCAGGGGGATTTTTTTTCTTAGAAAATATATCAAGAAAATACTATAAGAATATGTAGAAATATATAATATATTTACAATATATTAATAATTATTTTTCTATGCTAATTTAATTTAAATCGATAGTATTATTTATTTATTGAAAAATATACTATTAATGCTTATAGTTTACATTTTTAGATAAGTTTTTGTATAATGATATACTATTTCGGTCTTTTAATTGTAAATCGATTTAGTGATTTATAAAACCCAGTATTTATTTTGGTTGTTACATTTTCTAATGTTGATTTTTTACTTTTTCTTTTCCTTTTTTTTTCTTTGTGTGTGAGTGTGTGTAATCACATATTTTTAAGTTTATTTATTTTCTTGTTAAAAAATGTTCATTTGATAAGCTCTCATCAACAAAAATTCTATGCAATGTGCTGCACAAGTTTTTTTTTTATTATTTATTTTTTGTTCTTCTTGAAAATTGTTCATTTGATAAACACAATGTGTTGCAAAAGTTTCGTGTTTATTTTCTTCTTAAACTATAAATACATGAAATCTCATTTTTTTTGTTTATCTTTTTAAAATTGTGAGAGTGATACAATTTTTTATGTTTTTAAGAACTTGATGGTATACACGTCGATATTTATATTTATAGTAAATATATTTTTATATGATGAATGTTTCGACTTAAACTACAAACTCGTTATAACATTTAAAATCGAATATCCCTGAGAAAAATTTCTAAATCCGTCACTACCTAAAAAGGATGTATGGTCCTAAATTCAAATTTAGTAAGTGTTGATATTTTCAGAACTTTGTTTTTTTGGGTCATACATTTTCGGCCCCGGAACAGGTCGTGGAATATTATACTATTCATTTGTGACTGCAAATAAATATTAAACTCAGTGAGTGTTAATAGTGACATATTATACTATAACTATTAATTTGCGACGCAAAACTTGTATAAAAATTAAAACTGAATTATTAAATTCCAATTATCAAATATAGCTGAATCTGCTAGCTGGTCCATTCAATCAAAGATGGCTTAAACTCTCTGTCGTACCTCTTTCCCGGTTCGGATATAGAATGGTTTTTTTTGAACATGTCTGCCCGTCTGGATGATATATAGGTCAATGTAATCGAGCCTCGGCCAATTAACTTGCTTTCTACAGCAAAGGAAATTGGTCGAACTACGGAACCGAATTGATAGCCTATCCCGTGAATAAAGACTGACTTCTCAATTACATGGATCCTCGCCTATCCAAACTAGTGATTCAATTCCCCGGCATTACAAGTATTGGCAAACCAACTCATGATGAATCTCTTGCTGCAACATCAGTCTCACCCTTTTCAACCATCAAAAAAGAAGAGTACCAGCGCATACTTAGACTTTCTCTCTTAACTCAAGTCTTCTTCAATGGTTCACTTCTTTGTCAAGTTCTCTTTTCTTCCTATTCTACAAATTTAGCCCCGTTGGGGTACAGCAGATTGTAGATTATTACTTTCTCTCACCTATTCAAGAATATAGCCCCATATTTCTCAATCCCGAAAGTGACATTATGTCAGGAATGGAAAAAATGACCTTATTTCTTGACGAAGGGAGACAAATCGAAGACATGCTGCGAAACGCTTTTATTAACAAACCACCTTTCTCGGAGCTAAAAATTCCAATCTCTGCTGCACAAACTGAATATACACCAGAAATAATAGTGGGAAAAGTAGACCATTTGCGTAATGGGATACGCCTATGTATCATACTGGCTTGCTTTATGTCCATGGGTATTGAGCCATACGTACAAGAAGTCTTGCAAGATGTCTTATTCACGGATTCGGGGTAGGGTAGGGAGATGGAGACAAACCTACCAGAAGAATTAGTCATTTTCCAAGCATAGAAAATAAGTATATATCATTTTGGTTCGTAGGCCTAGTGTTATGGGTAGCCGGGGTCAGGGAACAGGTCTCGGCCCCAAGGCCCTATGGTGGCCGCAAGGGGACCGGTTTGTCTTAGAAGTCAAGGAAGAAGAAGTAGGAAAAGAGATCTAAAAAGAAGGGATTATTAAATGTCTGAAAGTCTTTCATCGAGATTCAATCCAAATCAGGATGGTATTTTCTTGTTCCTGAATGGCTTTATTTAATCTTTTTAGGTTGATGCTCTACTCCGGGGAAAGATCGGCCCGGTTTTGATTTGCACATATAGGACAAATCTTCCCACCACCACTTCTTTTTGTTATGACTTTACAAATAAGTAAATATATTTCAATAATTCCAACGGCACATTCAGTGAATATTTCAATGGTTTTATTTTCGTTGAAATTTTTCAATGGATTCCAACGAAAATTTCGTGTTGAAATCAGTTTTCCTATAGAATTTTCATGGAATTTTGACTATTCCAACGATATATTTTCTAACGTTTCAAACATGAGTGAAAATAGAAACTTCAAGAAAAATTGCCTATTCAACCAGAAATTTCTACAATAATATACCGTTGGAAAATAACATGTGAAATCATCAACTTTAAACTAAAATTCCAATAGATAACTAATATCAATGGAATATTTTCCTTAGAATTTTGTTTGGAGTCATCTCAAGGCAAACTATACCATAAGAATATTGGATAGAATTTTCATTGAAATAAGTTACTGTTGCTTTTTCCTTTGAAAAATATCATTTTTTTTATTTTATTTTATTTTTTTTTTTTTTTTGTTTGTNAATACATGAAATTTTGACCTCATACTTGTTGTTGGTCATACATGGGTCATAAATAAATCTTAACTACAATGTTTTCCATATATGCAGGATAAAAACTAAAAGTATTAGTTGTGTTGATCAAATGCGTATTGTATAACATAATTAAATGTTGTTGTTAGACTACTTAAAACAACATACTTAATTTTCAAAAAACATAATTACACATATACTATATAACATTCTATATTTTTTATTAAATTTTTAAGAGCGAGATTTCAGTATGATAAAATATTTATTGAAAAAAATATATATAGTTGTCAGAGCCGTTACCTGTCTAACAGTATCATTGAGGACATGTGTGGGTAAAAATTGGTAGTAATTGATTAATAAAGGAGAGTGTAAATGGCGTACCTGGACAAAAGAGTTGTTAGCATAACTTGTGTCTCCCAAGCCTCCCTTCATGTGAAGAACTTGCACTACTTCCATAGTTGCTACTGTATTATTCTGTGCAAAATACTCCTCAATTAGTTTTATATATGTGTTCAAAGGCTTGGCACACTTACAAATATTTATAGACAATGTATCTCAATTATGGCCTCCGCTACTAAATGCTTTGCACACTGCAGTGGTAATAATTTCATGCATCTGTCTTGACCCAACTGGCGTGTTCCACGTATATGACCGAATGACATATAATCAGCACCATTAATAAAACATTATTTTTTTCACTCCCATATGCAAAATTTAGTGGTGATGTTCGAATTGAATCGTCTCGTTACATAGTTTGGTTTGATATGTTAAACCTCAACTTCGACTAATTTGTATATTTGCACGGGTCAAGTTCAAACAACTAATTCAGGAAAAATTGCACATTCGTCCACTAATTATATCCGAGTTGCAACTCGGGTATAATTAGTGGACGAATGGTGCAATTTTTCCACTAATTCATCTTACCTATAAAAAAAATTGAGTTGTGTCCGGGATCATCTAGGCTAGAGTTCCGGGTTTTTGTCTAGGTTGTAAGGTTTAATAAATGACTCGAACCGAGTTTATGTGAGTTGAACTCGAGCACACATTTTTTGTTTATTTATTAAACGAACTGACTCACACCAGTTCCTTTATAAAATGGGGCACGAGTTTGAACATGAAGTACTCAACTCGAATAATTTAGTTATTCACATGTATAAAGAAGTCAAAGTATGAATTAAATGAATCGTGAGTAAATAATATTAAAATATGAATGTTGCAATAATATCAATAAAGTCTATCAATTTGAAATTACAAGTTTCAATAAAGTCTATCATTTT